GTCCTGAATGAGGGCAGCCTTACTGGGACACAAGCTCTCCCAAGATTTCCAAAATCTTGCTGCAAAAGTGCTCATCACTCAATTAACTAGCATGGACTGCACTAGAGAAGAGGAAGCCCCTTGAGGACCTTACTGACACACGACGGAGTCTAAACCATGAATGGAGATATGCAGTGTTTGCCACGGGAGCAGAGACAAAGCAGTGACTTCTGCGTGGGGCCAGGGGACATCTGCGCTGAGAAAGTGGGATGATACTTGAGCAGCCTTGTTCTCCACTCTGAATGCTCTCTCCCATGACATGAAGGCAGTTGTTTCTTTTCCAATTTTGCTATGTATGAATGGACTCTGAGACTTGCGTTATATGCCTTTGGAAAGCATTTAGAAAGCTCTTTCATCAGAGATCTGGAGGAACAGGGGAGATGTATGTACTGAGCTAAGAGCTAGCTTACTTACAGGGAAAAAGATAGATGAACTAACCACTGGAATACGTCACCAGAGGCCCCAGGAATAATGAAATAAATACATCGATGCTTCAGATGACAATAGCCCAGGCCAGAAAGGCATCACCAGTTTGGGTCATCTCGGGGGAATGTGGAGGTTGACACACCTGGGGACTAGGGAAGAAAAAGCGCTTTTTCAAAGGACCAGCTGGAATTTGGCTTGCCAGAGACTTAACTTATTCGCAGATCTCACAAATATTTTTTGAGTGCTTCCTATGTGCTGTGAATAAGAGAAATGGTCTCTGCCCTTATGGAGTCTATATTCTAGGAGAAGAAACTACCATTAAAGAAGTAAATCAATAAATACACAAAGAATTAAATCTTCTGATAAAGGTAATGAAGGAAGTAAATGAGGTATGAGATAGAGAACGTCAAGGTGGAGGGGGCACTCCTTTGGAAAGGGTCAAGGGAAACCTCTCAGAATGGAACACAACTGAAACCTGTAGGAGACAAGGGAGCTAGCCATGCAGAGCACTGAGGAAAGAGCACTCAGGCAGAAGACCAGATGCAAAGGGCCTGTGGCAAGTGGCTATACTAAATATAATAGAATATTACTAAAAGCAGAGCCCTAATATGATCTGCTTTACACTGTAAGAACACTCTGGTGCAAGGTAGAGCATAAACAGGAAGGCTAACATGCGGGCCCTTTCCTGAGGACACCTGGCTGCGGGTCCCGGCTGCACCGCTCAGCAGACCTGTGCCTGAAGGGAAGTTAGTTCACCTTCCTGTGCCTCATTTCCTCATCTGTAAAATGGGAATGATAACACTACCTAACTGATGGAGCTGCTGCGAGGGTTGAAAAGGAAGTACATGTAGGGCTCCTGGCTGGCTCAGTTGGAAAAGCATGCGACTCCTGATCTCAGGTTTGTGAGTTCAAGCCCCACGTGGGGTATAGAGATCACTTAAATAAGTAAAAAAAAAAGAAAAAAAAAAAACCTTAAAAAAGCAAAGGAAATACATGTAAAGTTCTTAGCACAGAGACTGGCACAGAGGAGCACTCAGTAAATTCTGTTATTATTGCTGTTAAAAACAAAACACTGCTTTAGTTTTCTTCTTAAGAAATTGGGTCCCCCTTGGCTTCAGGACACACTGTATTTCATGGTATCCCCTATTATGTTTTCATTTATTTTTTAAGATGGACTTCTATTTTAAAATATTTACTTATTCATTTATTTA